GGCGAGTAGGCCGACTCGAGCTCTCTCCATAACACCAGCCCTCGTAGTACTTTCTAGCAGAGCTCATCGCGCTCAAGACGAGTCTCACAAGAGCCTCGTCGCTCGACCGTGTGGTAGTCAAATCGCACTATCACCTCCGCATGATACGATTCAGGTCCCAATGATAGCGATGGTCAAGGCAAGGCTGTAGGGCTGATGTGCATAACGACGGAAGTGGATGTAGTTCAGCTCGTGACGGTATCGATTGCTATGGCGCTCTTAGATAAACGTGCTGGTCAAATGTTTCCATCTGGAAGACTACGACTTCTTACTTAAACCCAAGTACGTGTGCTCAGCCATCTCACTACGAGCCTCCTCTGCAGCGTTCTATCACAGGTTCGCCAGAATGGCGAGAGGCTCCCTTGTAGCGGAAGCTTGTCGTAATGCCCAGCGAGCCAAGCGAGACTCGACATGTGGTACTAGCAGTAGTCGCTATGATCACGGACGAGTCTCCTCCTCATCATCCTCCTTTCAGGGTATTCATCAATAGGAGACCGTCTTCAATTCACTCTAGAGCTGCTCGACTTGGATAGTGTATTGGCTACGCTAACAGAAGATCTTGACGGCAGCGTCTCAACTGGTCTGATCGAGGTGGGCTACGTTACTTCCTTTTGTGTGTAGCTTGAAGTGTAGGGAAATATGCATATGCTCAAATACATGTGTTTATCATGATGGGAAAATAATTGTGAGATTTTGGGATATTCCTGCTGGTTTCCTGTAAACTTTTATCTGACTACTGGTGTGAACTTTTATCATAAGGGAGGAAACTTCTGATCTCAGCTGAGGGAAGCGGACCGGGTAGCTTGTGTCGGCTGATTAGATACCACAGCTCATCTCAGCTGTGGTCTCAGCTCTTGAACATACTCCCGTCGATGATGGTGATACTTGTCGTAGCCTCCCCCCTGCAGACTTGCAGGAAGCTCTAGAAGACCTCTTCCAGCAGTACTAGCTACTCGAATACTATTCGTGGCGCCCACTAGTATTCTCAGCACTACCTCTGCCCGGCCGATGGAAGAGGTCACCAGCACGTTGGACACATTCCTTGATATCGATGGAGACCTCCGTCGAAGCATTGGGGATGCCCTGTTGGAAGCACGATCGAATGGGTACGTGTAAGTGATGAGGATAGTCATAGTGCATTTTACTCATTCATGGTTGGCAGTTACGGGAGGTTGTGTGAGCAAGTTCCTACTCGTGAAGGAAGCCAGGGAGCAGCAGCTCTCAGTGAGCAATGCTGAAGACATGTGACACGTTAGAATTTTGGTCTCTTTTGGTGCAGCCCTTAATGAGCCCAAGGAGCGCTCTGGTGTGGATGGGATATGTGCTATATTGAGTGAGAGGGATCTCCCAGTAAGTTGGCATGGATGCTCTACTATCGCTGATTTCGGTCCCCATTTAGGCGGACTCAGCCGTGTTGACGATGGTCCTCACTCTATGGGGAGGCCTGTCACAAGATGACCTCAGCACTGAAGCACTCGACGCAGCTATCATGTGCGACTGTGTTACCTCTCTTTGTCTGAGTGTCTTAGAATGTTAGGAGCCTCTGCGGCCTCACTGAGTTGCCTCCCGTTGTCGCCGAGCAGGAGCCAGAAGCAGCGGCTGCTAAGCTGTCCCTACCGCCTTCGCATGACCTTTGGCTGTCCGACGTGCCACAGTCCGACTCATCATCATCTTTGTCTTAGGCTTGTATTGGTATTCTGTAGGTCTGCTAAGGATGTATTCTGCATCAATATGTTCTGTCTTGATTCACAGTATCAACGCCACAGCCCGGACTTTCTGTTGCCTGCATTTTCTATGTGAGTTCCTCAATTCCATCGAGCCCCACCTCATGAGTTCTCCCATACAATAACGAGTCGTTCGTGGGGAATAAGGCCGCCGACTAGGAAATTGCTTGATAAATAATTCCACAAATTTGAAACTAATTTTGGTCGTTTTTTAAATTCGTATTTCACAACACAAAAGACAAAGAGAGCTTCATGAGAGCATCGAGCAGTTGAATGTCAGTCGCTCGTCTCAGGTTCCCAGACAAAAACTACTGCGTCCTCACGCAGCCTCATGACCTCCCTCAGAGCAACTTCCTCTCATCTATGTTCACCCAAATCCGCCCTAAGATTGGCACTAGCTTTCATCACGTTCTGTAAGTCCAACGAGCCTACAGCCCTTCCAGGAGCCTATTCACTCTTGCGATCAGATACCTCGCCCATCGCGACTCTTTCTTTGCCCGGATATCGGGCAGTCCACTGCTACTCGCCGACCGCAACCCTCATTGGGAAGTCGCCGTGCTCCCTCCCAGCTCAGGCCTTGGTAGCACGAAAGCCGAACTTCGGTGGTCGCAGGGATTTTGCTCAGCCTCTCTTGACTGGTCGAAGCTCGAGCCTGTGGCGTCTTCCATCACTGACAAGCACCGAGACTCCTTGCAACAGTATGCTTTCGTCTGCTCACCCTACAGGAACCGTTTTGCTCACAGGCGCTACCAAAATGACGAGATTATTGTCATTACAGTCCTCCTCGACGCTCAGCCTGTTGCAATGGTCGGGGTAAGCCTCGTCATGGTATGGAGGAGGCATCACGACTCTCTTCAGGTAGAGATGATCACCAGTAACGACAATGAAGCGGATGCGATAGACATGTTACGATGTCAGTAGCTGCTCGCTGTTCGTCGTTTACGCATCTGTGCATCGAGTCAGACTGCTACGACGTAGACCAGTACCTCTCCCCTGCTGCATATAAGGGCTCTGGCTCTTGCTGTCGGCTCATCCACTGGAGCATCATCCCGATACTCATCGGACAGACCAGAAGGATACTGAACATGGCCAATACTGCACTGGGAACTCGACTCATGTGAAGCCTTGATATTGCGGCCAAAGGGATTATCACTGCAGGTCCATCGCGGTTAGTAACAGTCTTAGTCACGTCGACTCTAGACTGTCTTTGGCAAGCTCATCTGGGAGAAGTGGCATTCTTGATGAATTTGTA